ATTATAAGGAGAACTCAGGGGGAACCAGGAAGCCAGGCTCCCATGAGCCCATGCTTAACATTGGATTCGTACCGTTTTATACCAATTTTACCTCTTTAACTCAGGTGCATTGCATTAGCTACTTAGCATGCAATTTTGTCAAACATTTTTTTGCTTTTGATTAATTTTGATTTTGCTTATTGTTTGGTTTAACAGTTCAGAAAACCAATTAGTTATTCCATAGAAAATTAAAAATTCATGCAGTTAAATGATTATATTATCATAAACTTTACTTGTAAGAGTGTATTCTCTTCATGAATTTTTAGAGACAGCACATATTAGGATTATAAGAGCCAGTTTCCCTGGGATTAATTTGATACCATATTCTTTACAGACATACCTCTTATTTGAAATCTTCAATTATACATTTAAGGACAGTGGATTTTAACTTTTTCTTGCCCATACCATTAGAGTTCTTATAGCACAAGTAACCCTGATATCTCCCCTTCTTCTAAGTGTGATATTCCCCAAAGTCCCTCTCTATTAGCAGGTGGAGATGGGCCTCTGAACTAAGGCCTGTAAGGTTTATCCAGCACCACTAAGTCTGGGAATACTTAGTTTCTACTTTACATATATTCATTCACACAGTGTGAGTCCCTCTTTTTTGATAGACAAGGGTTGACAAGATAAAGAAGAGGGTGAGTGTGGAGAAAGTACAAAGTTGGATATCCAAAGACTGAGAAAATTCCTAAATGCAGAGACTGGCAAGAGAATGAGGATCTTGAAAAAAGAGTAAAATTTCCCCGAGAGTTAGAAGGAGCACCAGGGGAGTGCAATGTCTCAAAAGGTAGTGAATAGAGGGTTTGGAAATAAGATGTGCTGGGCTTCTTATCTCATCATGCTTATCTCTAAGTGTCCAGGTGCAACAATTTCAAAGCTATGAACTCTATGGGAACATTATGAATTCCTCATGGTTCATATCAGCAACTCAAGAGTCATCGTTCTGGAAGCCAGTTTTCTCTGAAATTCTAAACACAATATGAAGTCTTCATCATCATAATCATCCTCCTCCTTGTTGCCCTCCTCTTCATCATTGACCATTATGACCTTTCTCACCTGGAACTAACTACCCATGCCAGGGAGATCCCTTGGAAATGTTGTACTCAGAACAGGAACAAAGGTTTACTGTTTAATATATCCATGGAGTGAGGAAAGATAAACTTTACATTAATATGAAAAAATATTTGTCTAATTTTAAGATCCAAAACCAAATCTCACAAACTTCCTCTAAACATTGTTAGTGTTTTTGGTTTTGCTTTTTAACTGTCAAAGGGCATGTGAACTTGCCAGAGATAAAGAGAGAGGCAGCATGGTCATGGTCATGCCACAATCATTTTTCCTCCATTCCTTCTTCTCCTCAGGATTTTTAGGCACACACATGCCAGCGTGTGTGCGTGTGTGTCCAAGATCTAGAAAAGATAATCGAGGAGAAAGAATTGCAGCATGGCCATCCCCACTGGGGCATGACTTCTCATTTTCTGTCTCTCTGTCTCTATCTCTCTGACAAATGCGCATGCCCTATAGCAAAAATCTCTCTATGTATATGTGTGTGTATGTGTGTTTGTGTGTGTGATGACTTTTCCCACAACCCAATAAATAAGTGGAGCTCTATCAAAATGAAAAGCTTCTGCCCAGCAAAGGAAACAATGAAGAAAATGAAAAGGAAACCCATAGAGTGAAAGAAAATACCTATAAGCCCATATACATAATAATGAGTTAATACCCAAAATACATAAGAAACATACAATTTAATATAAAAAATAGTGCAATGAAATAATATGCAAAAGAGACTGGCCTGTGGCCTGGGGATTAAGGAGTTGGATTCCACATAGTGGACTACACAGTTCAAGTCCCAGACCCTGTGTCTTGAGAAAGATACTGGGCACGCATGCGTGCAAGCCCAAAATCCTGACTGAAGGGAGAAATGAGAAGGGATTGTGTGTGACCATGCCCCATGGGGGAGGGGTGCTTTCTCTTCTTCCTTTCTTTCTGTATTTCTGTCTCTGGTAAGTATATGTGACTTTGGGCAAATTAATGAAAAATATACAAAGGTCCTATTTTTTCCAAAGAAGATATATAATGACAAAAACAAAAACCCTTAACATCACTAATCATCAGGGAAATGCAAATCAAAACCACATTAGATATCACTTTACATCTGTTGGGATGGTTGTACAAATAAAACCAAGAGAGAGCCAGTCCAAAATGCACTGGTTAAGCATTGTGCAAAGGAAATCGGATCCCACGTGGCTAACTGGCATTTGGTCTCCAGCTCTTATGGCTTGAAAAATGCCAGGCATGTGCGTGTGCCCAGGATCCTGATGAAATGGAGAATCAGAGGAAAAAGGATTGCACCATGACCAGGCCCAACTGGAGGGTCATTTATCTCACTCCCTGCGCTTCAGTCTTTCTTGCATGTGCAAGGAGACATGTGACATTTAACATAAGATAAAAAAGTCACTAGGTAATAAGGGTTGCTGAGAATATGGAGAAAAGGTAAATCTTATATACTGGCTGTGGGAATGTAAATTTGTACAGTCATTATGAGAAACATTATGGAGATGTCTTTAAAATTAAAAATAGAAGTACCAGGCCAGCAGATGGTTTAGTGGTTACATAGCTGGACTTCCACATGGCTGGTGGTGGTTCAAGTCCTGGACCCAGAGGCTTGAAAATCATGCCAAGTGCATGTGTGTGTATGTGTGTGTGTGTGCCCAAAGATCCCAGGAGGAGAATGGGGGAAAAGGGATTGTGGCGTGGCATTCCCTTCTGGGGTATGATTTCTCACTTTCCCTCTCACTGTCTCGATCTCTCTGGTGAGCACATAGGCCCTGCGGCAAAATCTTGTGGTGGGAAAAAATAGAAGTACCACCAAGTTCAGCAATATTTCTTTAGGGTATACATGTAAAGAAAGTGGAATGAGTATGTTAAAGAGATATCTGTACCTCCATGTTCTATGGAAGTGGACTAACTGCCCATTGATGGATAAATGGATAAAACATGACGTAGGCACACACAGATAATCAAATATTATCTGGCCATAAAAAGTAGGAAATTGTCATTTGTGATGACATGGATGAGCTGGGAGGACATCCTGTTAAATGACACAAGCCAGACACACAAAGACAAATCCTACGTGATCTCACTTATCTGTGGAATCTTCAAAAGTCCAATCCGTAGGCAGAGCAGATGGTCGTTGCCCATGGCGTCGGGTGGGCAGAGGTGGGAATAGTTGAAAGATGAAGGAATTCTGGGGACCTAATGTACAGCCTGGCAATTGTAGTTAACGATACAGTGCTGCATACTTGAAATTTGCCAGAGTAGATCTTGAGTGTTCTCACCCCTCCCACACACACGGTAACGATGTGAGAGCATGGATACATTAATTAGCTTGACTGTGGTAATCATTTCACAATGTACACATGGATCACACCATCATGTTATGCAACTTAAAATATCTAGGATTTTTGTCAATTGTGACTCCATAAAATTGGGGAAAAATAAAATGTATACTTTTTTTGGTGAAAAGTTTCAACACCGCCCCCCCCAATACCAGTATTGGTTTAACACATAATGCAGAGCTGTGGAGACTTAAATTCAGTCGCAGTAGCGTGCTGCTCAAGTGATGTTGGATCATGGCCTGTGCATGTGCCCTCCATCCTGCTGAGAAAGCTGGGGTGGTGGCAGGCACCACTGCACGAACAAGCAATGGGGGTGCTTGTCTTTCTCTTTTCCCCTCTGTCTCTCACCCTCACGAAATAAATGAGCAAACTTAAAAAAAAAAAATCCAGTCTCCCTTTGTGTCTATAGAGATGATGTTTTTCCAACTAGCCTGAAAACAAAAATTGCTACGTAATAGTGAAATGCATAAATATATGCCAAAGAGGAAGAATTTGTCTTTATTTAGATTAACATCACAAATAACAAACAACATTTAAAATCTCTCTAGTTGGTGGTATAAAGTGCACCACATAATCTACCAAGAAGGGTGGATTCCTACAGGGTGAAGATAGGGAATGGGAATTGTACCAAACGCCTTTGAGCTACTTTGGGTTGATCTGATCAAGTATGGGCAAAGGTAGAAAGAGTGAAAAACAAAATGAAAACATGTCCGGAAAGTTTAAATAAGTCTACTTCATTCAGTTAACAACGGAGGTGGAACGAACAGGAAGAAAGGGCCAGAGAGAGGGCTCTGAAAAACAGGAATTCATATTCAAATACATTTTCCCCTCTTGTTAAAACATTCATAAACAGGTATTATTTAGATCTACATAGCTACAAGTAAAACTGAATAAAATTGGGAATAAAATGAGATCTGAGTCCTTCTAAATACTGAGAACCATTATGTAATAGAAAGACAATTATTTGATAAAGCATAGGAAATAAAGATATTTATTTATAAGATAGTCTCATTATCAGTAGATTTATTCTTAGGTCACGTTTTTTATTTGCATTGCACTATTACCTGGATCTTAGCTGATGTGGCATCTGCAAATACTTGTAATTTCAGTCACACTCCAAAAGTCAAAACTTTTTCCTTAGGAATAATCTCTCCTCATTATCATTTGCGATTTCAGCTACTACGGAAGGTGTCAATTATTGCTTAAGGTGAGACGGTTAACACTTTGTTTGAAAAACATGGTGGAAGCTGTCTCTAGCTTTTCTGGACCACTTTGCAGTAACGGGTTCCCCGTGTAGCCGAGGAAGCGGGTGAGCAGCCCTCCGAGGGACCCAGACATCAGCCGGCTTCCACGGTGTCCAGGTCTGGTGGAGTGAAGCCCCACCTTCGCCCCCGCCCGCGTCAGGGCGGTTGACAGGTGGGACTCGCGCCCCACCCCCGGTCCTGATTGGCTGCCTGCCGCTCCTCCCCTTGCCCTTATTGGTTCCCGGCTCTCCTGAGGCGCCCGCCGGTTGGCTGCCCTGCCGTTGTCTTGGCGACGCGAGTTGTTGTGGTTCCGTGTTGCGCTGGGAGTTTGGGGTGGGTCTCAGCTCTCCCGCGTCCTACAAACTCAGGCTGCGGAGCCGCCGGCTGCACCTCGGAGACCCTCGTCAAGCAGGTGAACAGGGACGGCAGAGGGGGACCGCTCTATTACCAGGACGAGACGGGCACCGAGCGGATCCCTGGACGGGACCTGCCAGCTCCGCCAAGCTCAGCCGTCCTTGATTACCTTCTGTGTGCCCGGAATGCGTGTGTCTGTCCCAGCTGTTTGCCTTCATGATGTGCCCTAGTTATGTACCCAGCACGGGTGTGCCCCTGCTGTACCTCTGGTGTGTGTGTCTATTTCCCTGCTGTATGCTTCGAGTAGTCGGTCCCTGCTGTGTGCCCTGCGTGCATATGCCCCTGTTACATACCTTCCATGGTGTGCCCTTGTTATGCTCCCGGTATGGACGTCTTCCTGCTGTGTACCTTGCGTGCATGTGCTCCTGCGGTGCACCTGATGTCAGTGCGTATGTCCCTAATGTAAGCCTTACATGACATGCCCCCTGTTGTATATTTCCGTGCTGTGCTCCTGCTTTATCCCTGCCTGGACAAGCCTGTGCTGTATACCTTGTATGATGCGTCTTTGCTATGTACCTAGCACGGACGTTTCCCTGCTGTGTACCTTACCTGCATGTGCTCCTCTGTGTACCCTGTTGGACGTGCCTCTGTTGTAAACCCGGAGTGAATGTGTCCCTGCTGTGTACACAGCATGGACCTGCCCCTGCCGAATATCCCACTTGGACATGCTCCTGCTGTGTACCTGGCGGGAACGTGCAAACACTTGGCGATCGTGAAGTGTCAGGAGGAGGCGATCAGAGCTGGCAGGACCACGAGGACTTAAGACTCTGCAGCTGCAGTTCCCAGTCACAGGGTGGGCCAGGCCAGCAGCGCCACCCACCAGCACCTGGTCTAGCAGCGTCCTTCTCTCTCCACAGGGCCCGCAGCGCCCGGCCATGAGGAACACGAGCAAGGAGCTGCAGGGCGCCTCGCACCGCTACGCTCCCTGCGGTGAGTACGTCCAGTTTGAGCTCTGAGCTCCCTCTGCTCTCTGCACCGGCTGTGGACCTGCCCTGTGTGTGGGAGGTGGGGGGAGGAGGGGAAAGGAAAGGGAAGAGATGAGGGGCGGGGAGAATACTAACCAATAGCCTTCAGCGAAAGCCACAGACCACTGCTGTCCCAAGTGTCAAGTAAAGTTTAAAAGAATGTGAAAAAAATATGAAGTCTCGTTTTTCTTTATTTTTCCATTCTATTTTTTCAAAACTTTGCCAGAGGGTGCATGCACTTACTGAACAGAGTGAGAGAGAGATAGGGAGAGAGAGAGAAACTGAGAAAGCACCCTCCTACACACACACACACACACACACACACACACACACACACACACACGGGCCATGGTCGTCACCCTGCAGTCCCTTCTCTCCATATCTCCCTTCTTTTGGGATTTTGAGCACTCAGGCACACATGCCTAGAGTGTTTCTCTAACCACGGGGTCCAGGGCTCTAACCAGGTGATCAGCCATGTGGGATACAGCCACCTAAACCACCTGCCTGTGCTCAGAGCCCAGAAGTCTGCGGGATCCCGGGCTGGCTCCCAGCCCTTCCCAGGCACTGTTTCCCCATTGAGAAATAAAGGTGCAAAGGTTAGCATCTGAGAAGGCAGGGAAAGCTACATAAGGAAAACCTACAGGACGGTAAATGATATAATTTCATGCATGTACTAACAATTTTTTGAGTGATAAAAGCTGAGACACCTCTTTGTCCCTTGAACCTTCTGTGTGAGTGTGTGTATGTAAGGTGGTGACAGTTGATTCAGATCCCCGCTCTCTGACCTCCTCCTCTGCACACGTTTATAAATGATTGCTGGATTAGAGTTCAGAGCTTTCAGTAATGAGTTAGAAGGTTCTCTGAGGATTAATTAGTAATCAAAACAGAAAAGAAAAATAAAGCAAGAATGAGACATCTTCCCTCTAAAAGAGAAAATATTTGAGCTAAACATGATCAGACTGTGAAGCTGCTAAAGTCATTCTTACTTTTACTTTTTTTATAGTTTTATTTAGTTATTTCTTGAGAGAGAGAAACCTCCCTAATAGAGTCTTATGCTATGATCCAGCCCCAGCCAGCACTGATCATAGGCACATATATATCTGTCATGCTTAGGGAGGGCCCAGGACTTGAACCCAGCCCCTTTTCCATGTGGACCCATTTGCATTACAGCTGTGCCATCACTTGGCCCAATTCTTAAATTCATTCTCCATGAGCATTTGTGTAATTCTATAAACCTTTCCCAGTATTTATTTTTTCCTCTTCAAAACTGTATTGATTCAATATTAATTAATGTTATTTAGATATTTAGAAGATTCTCCATGTTAAATATTATTCTTTTTGTGTGTGTGTGTGGTGAACCAGCTTTCATTCTAAGTAGAAATTGGATGGACGTCTAAGCTTTTAGATTTAAAGGATGGTTACTTCTTGCTTTTGTATACTTACGGGAATTGATTTATTTAGTACCATTTTCCTGTGTTCTTACTGGATTAGCAGTTTTCTCTGGAGAAACAAAACCAACAGAATCTCTCTCTCTCTCTGTGTGTGTGTGTGTGTGTGTGTGTGTGTTGAGGAAGTATTTTTAAGGAATTGACTCACACAATTATAGGCGCTGGCAAATCCAAAAGCTGTATGTGGACCAGCAGGTTTGTGTTTGTGGAAGAGCCAAGGTTGCAGCTAGGATCTGAGGGCCACTTGGAAGCAGAATTCCTTCTTCCTTCAGGGATCTTGGTCTTTTCTCTCTCTTTTCTTAATTTTCTAGACAGCATGTGCACTCACTAGAGAGATGGAGGGAGAAAAAGACAGAGTGAAAGTGAGAAATCACCCCCCATAGGGAACAGTCATGCCATAATTCCTTCTCAATTTCTCCCTCCTTCTGGAAGCAGGGTCCATCCTGGATATCTGTGTTCGGCTCATCTGCCTGTTGCACCTTTCTGCACTGGGCTGCAACCACGGTGGGGGGAAGGGCAGAGAGCATGCTCCCTTCATTTTCCTTCCCTCCTTCTCCCACACTATTGCAACAGCTTCATCTTTGTGGGACCCTCACACGGCAGAAGTCAATCCACCTTTGCCCACCCTGTTCTAGCTTGATCTTACCCAAGGGAGCCTACCCAGGCACCCTAGGAGCCTCTGGTTTGAGAAAATTTTCCATTACACGTGCTCTCTGGGGAAGTAAGTTCTCTCCCTGCTCCTTCAGTGACCGAGGCCTCTGGCCACCTTTCACCGCACACTTGGCTTCAGACACAAGCAGAGTCAGCAGAGAGCTTGCTGACCGAGGCTGTAGGCACTGAGGAGTCGGTCTAGTGAGGCAGTGCTGGGTGGCACACACTGTCGGGCTGATGAGGCTGCTTTGACAGCACTCGTGACCTGCCACTATGCTCTTGTAAAACTGGTAGTCATTCCAGCAGGCTGCCATTTTGTGGCAGTTTTATTTTGTTATTACTTTAATTTTTTTAGCTTGCTATAGGGTGAATGCATTTTCTAGAGAGAGAGAGAGAGAGAGAGGATGCCACCCCAGGAAGGATAGCCATGTTGCAATCCCTTCTCCATTCTCCTTTTGGGATTTAGGGCATGTGCACACATATGCCTGGTGTTGTTTTCCAAGCCGCTGAGTACAGGATGTAAATCATGCAGTAGGCCATGTGGGATCCAGTCACCTTAACCACTATGCCACCCACTGGCCCCGTTTCAGCATTTTTAACACGCCAAGTTTGTCAATTCTTGGCCAATATTTGACTGTATACTCCATAGGCTTACCCAGGGTGTTTGAAGTGATTTGGATTTTTTAGGAAAGAATGTTACCAGGTATAACCAGAAACACAGTTGAGCTATGATTATATGGAGAGGTGGAGAAGCATGGCTACCTCCCTGGGAAGGATGCGTGCATGTGCGTGTGTGCATGCATGGGAAAGGCTCCACCCTCATAGCTCTGGTAGTAAAGCCAGGCTACAGCAGGGAAGCAGTGGAAGCACTTTCCCTCTGTTTCATTGGTGATTGTGTACAGGGGTCTCCAGAGACTCGTCTGCGTAAACTGGCAGTGTCAGGACCCACCTGGACAGCATCTGTCCCCAGCTAACACGTGCTGGTCTTGTGCCTCCCTGACTGTGTTGTCCGCATAGTGTGTGCAGGACGAGAGCGGCTGGACAAGGCGCCCTCCTGACATTCACGTATAACCACAAGGTGGCCCCGGGCCTCTCTGCTTTCTAGATTGGTACTACCACCTCCCCGTGAAGCGGTCTGAGAAGGCCGTGGATGCCCCGCCAGCGTCCCAGATCCCAGGTCTCAGCAACTTGGGAGAATCACAGAATGGGAATGCACTGGCCACTCGGAGATACTGGATCAAAGAAACAGACTCGGAGTACGTGAAGCTCGCGAAACAAGGCGGCAGGCCTGGTAAGCACCCCACCTCAGCCAGCCTGGTGTTACAGCTGTGTGAGCGGTGACAGGGGCCTTGGTTCCTGATTCTCTCCATACAGAAATATTACTGCATACCTGTGAGTTTTTCCAGAAGAACTTCGGAAGTTATTGGTATGGGGGTGAAGGGGGCTGGAGCTGGGACGGTCTTCAGGGGTGCACTAATTTTTGTAATGTTAGAGGGAACAGATTTTGCCTAGACAGAATTGACTGTGCAGGGTACTTTTCCCTACTTTATTGACTTTTAAAAATGTACCTTTCCC